GTACACGGGAATTTCATCTAGTCACTTTCATCATGTTGGTTCGACTCGTGTTCGCTACTTTGATAATTTGATATGTGGGTGGACCGGTGCTTAGGTGTTGTTCTTACTTGAACAAACATCCTATTATGATTAACCCTCCCGCAAGCATCCGCAACTACGAGAAAAGTATTAAGAATAAATTCTAACCATAGCATTAAACTTTGGGATCCAATCGGTCCCTTATGGAATAGCGCATAAACTGGGGTTTAAGCTTCTATCACTCTCGCAACCCATCATCTAATTGCTACTCCACAATGCATTCCCTTAGGCCCAAATATGGTGAAGTGTCATGTAGTCGACCTTCACATGACACCACTAAGGGAATCACAACATACATACTATCGAAATATCGAACACATATCAAATTCACATGATCACTTGCAACATGATTTCTCCCGTGACCTCAAGAACAAAGGTAACTACTCACAAATGATAAACATGCTCATGATCAGAGGGGTATTAAATAGCATATTGGATCTGAACATATAATCTTCCACCAAATAAACCATATAGTAATCAACTACAAGATGTAATCAACACTACTAGTCACCCACAAGCACCAATCTATAGTTCCGGTAACGAGATTGAATACAAGAGATGAACTAGGGTTTCAGATGAGATGGTGTTGTTGAAGATGTTGATGAAGATTGCCCTCCCCAAGATGGGAGAGTTGTTGGTGATGATAATGACGATGATTTCCCCCTCCGGGAGGGAAGTTCCCCCAGCAGAATCGCTCCACCGGAGGGCAAAAGTGCTCCTGCCCAAGTTTCGCCTCGAGACGGCGGCGCTCCATCCCGAAAACCTTCTCCTTATTTTTTCTAGGTAAAAATGACTTATGTACCAGAAGATGGCACCGGAGGTGTGCCGAGGAGGCCACAACCCACCAAGGCGCGCCTGGGGGCCCTGGGGTGCCCAGGTGGGTTGTGCCCACCTGGCGGCCCCCCTCTGATAGTTATTGGCTCCAATATTTCTTATATATTCCATAAAAAATCCCCGTGCAGTTTCAGCTTATTTGGAGTTGTGCAGAATAGGTGGCCTGATGTAGCTTTTCCAGGTCCTGATTTCTAGCTGCTGGAATTCTCCCTCTTTGTGTGTACCTTGTAAATTATGAGAGAAAATGCATTAGTATTGCTCCAAAAAGCATTATTATGGATAACAATATTATAAATAACAGTAAGAAAACATGATGCAAAATGGACATATCAGACCACAACATCAAAGGCTGCAAGTACCTCAAGGCTGGTCTGCCCCCTCCAAATGTGCAAGCTCCACCACCACAACATGGAGATGATCAAGCTCCTAATGCGGAAGTTGCTCCAAATGTGGAAGCTAGTAATGCAGATCATGCTCCAAATGTAGGAGATGATGAGCAAGTCATTACTCAAGTATGTCTTCCATCATTTGCACTGTAGGTTTTCTTGCACTATTAGAGAATCAGAAATATTGCAAAGATATGATTCAAAATTACTTACACTTCAACAGGAGCACAACTCTTAGAAAATCGTGTCATAGAAGATCTTATGGTTGATCATATGGTTCAAAATGTAAGTTGATGTGCTTGTTTCCTATAATTGATCTTAAGTTCATTGATAAAACATGTTATTCTGAACTGCAATATGTACATTTGCCATCCAGAGGCCTCTGCCAAGAGTGGTTGCAATAGGGCCTATACCAGAATCAACTTTCATATGTGCTGCCAGGGCCATGCTCAATCAAACCCAAGGTAACACAAGCAATAGTGGGAGCTCAAGCACGATCTAGCAAGGTGACTTGGCCAAAAGATTGCTTCTCCTCAAGAGACAGAGAGACAGAGAACTAGAAGATAAGAAGGAAGCACTTCTTGCAGTAAGAAGGGAGGAACAACAAAAGAAAGAAGAGGAAGCTGCCAGGAAGAGACATCAGCAAGAGGAGAAGAAAGCGCTGGAAGAAGAGAGGAAGAGGCAGTCACAAGCTCAGAAGAGAGAGAAGAGATAAGAAGAAGTTGCAATAGTAAAGTAGGCTAAGGAAGAGACAAGGGAGATCATTATGGAGACCAAGAAAGTTGTGGCTGGTGAGAATAAAGCAAGGTAGCAAGCTCAGAAGAATGCTCAAAAGGAGGAAGCTGCAGCCAAGAAGAGAGCAGAGAAAGAAGCTACAGCAGCAAGAAAAGGAGCGGACATGGTAGCTGTTGCTGAGGCTAGGAAGGAGGAAATGAGGCTAATAGGTATTGCTCTTGGCAAGAGGCTTGCAGGTCCACAGCCTGATTCAGATGACGATCTTGTGCTTCCCAGTAAGACCAGAAGCACTTCAATGTTTGACATCTTCAGATGATGTACCTGCTGTGTAGCATGTTGTACTTCTTAATCTCCAAGGCATGATGTAGTAGTATCTGACTGATGAGAAATGTTATAATTGATCCATACTCATGTGTACACATGAGTATGGATCAATTGTTGATCATTTTGTAACTGAATGCACTTGTGTATCTGAATTGTTGATACTTCCCAGATATGTTTTGTTGGTACAAACCATAATTTTGATGGTACTTCCCAGATATGGAGTGCTGGTTATGCATATACTTTTCTCTCTCAATGCACTTGTGTAACTGAATTGTATGTGCTACAATCATAACAATGGTCAAATGTACACAGAAGCCAAATATGACAGCAAGATGATAACAACATCAAATAGCTTTCCAACGTACACAGAAGCCAAATATGATAACAAAAAATGATCTCTTCATATGACAACAAGATGATAACTTGCAGAACATTAACTTCCATTTTACCTGCATCATGTCCTAACGTACATAGAATCAACTTGCATAAAAATGATATCTTCATATGACAACATCAACAGCTTCAACAAGCCAAATTAACTTTCATTTGCAGTAAAAGATTGTCACTTGCTTAAATATTGCAAAAGCATCACTTACAATGCAAAAAGATTGTCACTTCAGACTAACAACACTACATCAACTTCAGCTGCAAACTGGAAACTACATCAACTTCAGACTTACAATGCAAAAGCATCACTTCATACTACCAGTTCATCTCCTAACAAACTAGGCATCATGCTACTGGAAACACTGCATCAACTCCATCGCTTCTTCAGCAAAGAAATAGCAACAAGCACTACAAGTACAATGAGTGCTGCCACCAGTGCCTTCCTCGTCACCAATATTTGATTGGCTAACCCTACGAGTGCCTCTGCTTGCTGATTGCTCATTTGAGCTGCAACTCTTCCACGGATTCCATCTTCAAAGCCTGGAAGATCAACTTCACCTCCACCTGCATATCTTCGATTCCTTACTCGCATCAGCTCTTCCCTCCTATCCTCTGCAGCTCCTAATGAGTATACGGCTTCATTGCCAACGAGAAACTGATTATCCAGCAAGTAGACAAACGTATTCCAACTCCCAATGCCAGAAATGGTCCTGAAGATCAAAAGAAGCGAACATACGCCAAAAATCACCATCACAAGTTCCACAAAAATCGACCAAAATTAACAAATGCCAATGGATGCACACCACTTACACCAACAGAACATCTGTAGAAGACCCAACCCTCGTGCTTCTCTGTGTTCGAGAGATAGAACTTCACACGAGCGCGGCAAGAAGGGCATCTTATGAGCGGCACCACCACTGAACGGTCGACGAGCGATGACTTGACTGAGCTTGTCGACATGGCGGAGCAGTGAAGAGGGCGGCGGCGGCAAGCTGCAGGAAGAGGGCGGCGGCAAGCAGCAAGGAAGAGGGGGGCGGCCTCGGCGGCAGGGAGTCGGGAATTAGGAATTTGGCATCAGCGGCACATATATTTCAGGGTGATGGATGTAAATTATGTGCGCCGGCCTAATTTACATAAATAACCCCCCGCGAACGCCAGCTGTTGCCTCGGATTGGTCAACAAGTGGTCAAATGGAGCAGCGACGAGTGGCGTACGATGAACAGAGACCGTGCAATCACGTGTAGACGTATTGAGTGACCATATTAGTCGTATTTTGAAGTATAGTGACCAAAGCGTGCCTTCTTCGCAAGTTCAAGTACCGCCGGTGCATTTTACTCTTAAAAAAAAGCTACAACTCCGCTCCCGTCCGTGTGTGGCTAGCTAGGTCTTCCACGCCGCCCAAATGAACGCAAGCGAGGACGGCGGCCGCCGCCGCCGCCGTTCCCAAACCCACGACGAGGCCGACGGAGTGGCCCGCCTCCATCCCCAGGTTCACGCGGGCGAGGAGGGAGCCGGAGTGGCTCGCGGGCGCAGTACGCGCCCCCGCGCCCGCCCTCGTTCCCGGATCCACGCGACCGGCGAGGGCGCCGGAGTGATCTGTCGCGTCAGCATTCCGGCGGCACTGGCCTCGCCGTTCGAAGACGACGACCTCCTGAGGGAGATTCTCCTCCGTCTCCCGCCGCAGCCCTCCTCGCTACTCCGGGCCTCCGCCGTCTGCAAGCAATGGCGATGCGCCGCCACCGACCCCAAGTTTCTCCACCGCTTCCGCACGCACCACCGGAAGCCGCCCCTCCTCGGCGTCTTTCACGTGCGCAACAGGGATGATATCGTCTTCACCCCAATACTGGACGCACCCGACCGCATCCCTCCTCGGCGATTCGACCTTATTAGCAGCACGGAGGTGGTGCTCTTACTGCTCGATTGTCGCCACGGTCGCGTCCTTCTCATTAACGTGGGGCGGGATGAGGCCATCGTGTCCACCCCCATCACCGGCGAGCAGCGCCTCGCCGCCTCCTGCCCATTCCGTCGGAGTTCAAATTCACCGATGATGTCAACGGGGCTGTGCTCTGCGCTGCCAGCGACCATGGCCATGTGCACGGAAGCTGCCACTCGAGCCCCTTCAAGGTAGTGTTGATCTCTGATGTTGGAGAGGATAATCGATTCTTTGCTTGTGTTTACTCCTCGGAGACTGGAGTATGGAGTGATATCATCTCAACAGCCGTTCCACCTGAAACTTTTTTTGCTGATACCCCTGGGATGCTTGTTGGTAATGCACTTTACTGGTTGATGGATATTATGACCGATGACATACTTGAGTTTGATTTGGATCAGCAGAGCCTAGCTGTGATCAAGGGGCCTCCCATTACAGATGATTTCCGCCATGCCAGCCATTGGATCGTGCAGGCTGAGGATGGTGCTGTTGGCTTCGCCATATTGACTTGCAGTCACTTACAAATGTGGCAGAGGATTATAAATTTCCATGGTGTTGCCACATGGGTGTTATGGAAGACCATTGACATGCATACCATCCGTGGGCTCCCTCCCCAGATTGACATGATACGTATAGCGGGATGCATTGAGGATACTGACGGACTATTTCTATTCGTGGGCCATGATGTCTATATGGTTCAACTTAATTCAATGCAGTCTAGGAAACTTTTTGAAAACCGTGGTTATACTTACTATCATTCGTTCAAGAGTTTCTATCAGCCAGGTGATTGTTCATCCTTAGTCCTCATATTGCAGGAGTAGCTTAATCTTGTTATTGTGTTATGTCGAATACCTTTGTTGCGATTCTCAAGTTTTCAAACTTATAGCCATATTGTGTAGTGTATGTTATAATTCAATATAGTTATCTTCACTCTTCACTCTTCACTATTCATTTGCTAGATAGATGAGCTTATAGCCTTCTGTGTTATCGTTCAGTTTAATTGTCTTCATAGTTCATATATGGGAGATAACAAATCAAATAACAAGTGAGTAATAATGTGAAATAAAATGTCAAATGGTTAACTCATTCAACATGTTTTTACCTCAGCTGGCTGTATTCTTCTATCCAATACTTTTAATCTTGCTAACTCCATAAAAGATTTTTCATCCAAATTGTTTCTGAAATAATTGTTTTCATTTTCACTTATTCAAGACTATCTTGCATGTAACACACCTTTTATTTAAGCTGAAGCCCAAGATCACTTATTCTGGTAGAGTTTTCGCTTCTTAACATCGGGAGGGATGAGTTAAATGAGATAAATGCTAGACCATGTCTTGCTTTCAACAGTATTCCTTGCAAAATGCAACATATGTTTTTATCAGGTACCATCATCAGTAGTGAGCTATAAACATAAAAGAGTTAATTTCTCTTCTTATTTGTGAATTCATCTATGTAGCAGACTCACTGTTGCCTTCTAATATCCATATGTCTATTTCTTAAAACTTTATTAAATGTCTGCCTTGTGTTTCTAGGCACAACCATTGCTGGTGCATGTGATGCAGCTGAAATGTTGCACGATACATAGGATGACTGTCTGGTTTGATGTTCTAATGTGCTGAAACGGTTCAGCAGGTAAGAAAATCATCTGAATATAGTTTGTAAGAACTGACCGTTTGATTTTCTCTTTGGAAAATATCTAGCGGCCATTGTGGGTAGCATGCACCCTCAAACTGCTATCCTTTTGGCTATAGGGTTGGACACATGCTAATAACAAAGACAAACTATTAAAATGCTGGTGATGCTAAGGAAAAAGATGAGTCCTTTATTGGACCATAAATGATATGCAGATAATCCAAATGTTATATTCCCAGAGTTGTCCCTTAGTTTAGCTGTTTCATAATCTACAGTTTGAAAGCAATATATTAGTAGCATGAGATCGTTATGGGCATTATATGGCTCTTATTTATGTTGCTGAGCTGATGATGAGTTCACATGCCTTGTTGGTACACTGTTACATACTCCTAGGTGCTACTATTAGGTTATGTATGTATGTATCAAGTTAGTGACAGATTAGTGCTTTTTTCCCAGGTGAAGAAGGGCTGCTGCACTTGTTAATTGACACTGCATTTGTCGCATTGTATCAATGTCTTCAGCAGTGTTTATATGTTATCTAAAATGACTTACCGTGCCTTAGTCTAGCCAAGTCTCTATTAGCAAGATGCTCTTGAATGCCTAATCCAGTGAATTTCAGCTTAACCCAGTATTATTTCAGGTTGGATTTCGTCGTCTCTTGTTTCTGTTAGGTATTTGTGCCTGGCAGCTCTTCTCCTGAGCCATGATAGTTTCAGTCCCATGTATCACCAAAACTTGTGTGTTTGAGTGTGCTTGTCAGCTGTGGTTTGAAAAGCATGTCATTGCCGTCGATTAAATATGATCATGATCTACCCATGCTTTTTTGTCCCGACTGAGAGTGAGTTTTGCTTTGCTGCAGCTTGTGCAATATTTACCTTTTAATGTTTCACATGAGCCAGAGTACTCATCATTAACTCGACTGTTTGCGGCTGAAGATATGGGACCTGACGACAACCATACTTGAAACCATAGTAACTGGGCAGCTGGAGGTTGCATTTTTACCCTGGGGAGGGTTTGATGTTGCATTTGTCTGTTAATCATTCTCTGCTGGACTTCTCAGTGATTTCAACATTTTTTATACTAAAGTGAACGCAACTGGGCAGCTGGAGGTTGCATTCTTACCATGGGAGGGTTTGATGTTGCATTTGTCTTTAGATGGATCAATCTCTGATTATCTCCCAGGTGTCTGTTTCGCTCCTTGCTTAATCGATCCAAACCTCCATGTGTATGATGGAAACATTATATTATGCTAGATCGTGCTGGGAGTTACACGATGAAAAGAAGTTTAGGTCTGCCTGGGAGTCTATGTGCCCCCTATCTTGACCATGGACAAATACAAACTTTTGCAAAAAAAATACAAACTGAAAATTCAAAGCTAGGATGCTAGCAATAGTTAGTTCAAACTCGTACAACCCAAAAAGCAATAGTTAGTTTAAACTCTTACAGCCCAAAAAGCATATGGTTTGATCGCCTCCAAGTTTCAACACTACCTTGAGCTTTAGACATGCTTTCTGATTTTGTAGAGTTACAGATAAAAGCTCTAAGCATGACTGAAAATTGAGAGTGATGTGATGAGTTAGGACTGACAGGAACATTCAGTAGGACAACCAACACAAAAACTACGACGACATACTACCATCACATGAAATATGTAAATGTGTGTGCATTATATAGGTTCTCAACATCTATCTCTCATGCTCTTCTGATTTCTTTTCTCCTATCCAAGCATCTCACTGCCAATCTATCAAAAAAATAGCAGCTTCCCATGTAGATGGGGCCTCGGTCAGCGCCGCGGCGGGAGCAAAAATCAGCCTTCGGGAAGTACTCGTCAAGCTTGATATCGACCGATGACCACCTTGATTGATGACAGTGGCCCGTGAGAAGACGTCACACTCCGGCTCACCGCAGAAGTAATTCTTCACACATGAAGACTTAGAAAAAAAGAATGAACGTCTTAAAAATAAATAAAAGCTACACATATAAAAGTGTAAAAAGGCATAAGTGGGGACAAAATTGTGGAATAGCTCTGATGAATGCACATAAGATTATGCGGCACTTTGATTATTAGAGAAGATTAAATGCTCGTAAATCGTAATGTACCCTTCACGATCATAATCAAATCCTGAGAAAAAAATTGTTATCACCACAAGCCACATACAAGATGTCTAGAAAGCAAATAATAATGGTCATTTTGACAGGAATCAAAATATGACACATTATTCAGAAAAAAGAATTATAAGTTCAACGTGCAGGCAACATGATACTAATTTATACACACACAATTGTTATGCGTGCAGTAGGCGCCATTTGAAAACAGAGTACTCCCCAGTCCCAAAATAAGTATCTTTGATTTAGTACAGGTAGTACAATTTTATAGTATAAATTGTACTAAACCAAATAAACTTATTTTGGGACGGTTGAAGTAATCATTATCGATATACATAGACAGTTCTTGGACAAACCGAAACCTACGTGCAGCTGCAATTATGCATCAAAACTGCGAGTACAAAATACATCTTTGGAATGTTGAAATTTTACGGTTTGGTAGCCATCTGCAATCATGCATCCATTCTCAGAATCATATCATGATTGAAAATCTTCCAATTTGGTAGTCTGCAGATTAATATAACAAGCAACAATTTGAGAGTTGGGAGACATTACTAATATGATTCACTTTTTACAGTGTAGTTTCACCATGATCGGAAATTTCCTAATTTGGCTGCACATCAACATTACGAGCAACAATTTTCCACTTTTTACAAAGCAGTTCATGTAGAAGATGGCAGAGAGGATGTGGGTTTGACACTACTGATCATCTGCAGATTTTGAATGATACTCCATACCTTTTAGACCTTGTGATTAAAAAAAGATGTTGAACTATTGCCAAAGATTTAAAATCAGTCAAGGATTAGTTAATCAGCACCGTGATTCTACAACAAAGTGATCAAATTTTGAGTACCTCCCAATAAGTGTTTGCTTCACCCCCTGCAAAAATCCAAGCAGAAAAGATATCATAATATGAACATGGAAATTGAATCAGTAATCAGTGCACACAATCTATTATTGGTCAGTGCTTTTTTGAAATATACGGGTTGCCTAATATGCCAACTGAACCTCACAAATGCGAATCCCATGGTAGAAAATCTCTATCCACACATGAGGCCTGATGGGATCCCACGTGATAACTAACAAGAATGGAATGGTCCGAGCAGAAAATTATGGAATTAAGGTAGTAGAATAGAAGACCAAACATGAGGCTGTAGCCTGTAGCGGCCGGAGACTCCTCGCACACCTGCGTTGCCACAGTGTCCGTCGCTGATCAACAGTGGGTCAGCCGCGCTAGTGCCTGCCTGAGCGAAGGCAAGAAGGGACCGACAGGAGAGCGTAGCAGCATGGAGAAGCCCTTGTGGAGGATCGGCTTTGCACCACCAGTCGCCACCGCCTCCCTCGACAAGGTTTAACAGCGCACCTAAAACTTAAAAAGAAAGACATTAAACTTGGAACTTTTTTTTGTCAACGGTTCAGTTAGATGTATTAGTTCACGGAAATTTAATGGGAAAAGAAAAGGATTGAAGAAAAGAAAGAAGCATTTCCATCACCACATAGAGTTTCAAATGAACCATTAGTCCAACACGACGACTGATCAATGTTTGACATCTTACCTTTTCATCTACTTGTATGTAATCTTGTGTGCACTTATAGTTAGGACATGGTATGCAAAAGACAGTGGTGGAGCAAACGAACATAGTATCACAGTAGACTAATCCAAAACAATAAGGTGTGCATCAAGAGTGCTATGTGAGTCTATCCACCTGGCGATTCTTACTGTGGCGGCGAGATTAAAAAGAAAAGGAAGAAGCAAGAGAAAGGGTATCTACCATCCCGAGATAGTACCTGTGCTGGTAAAACTTTTTTCGTTTCCTTCTCTAGGAAGCCATTCCTACTCTGTTTCTCCTCCACGCACGCGACCTCTTCTCTTTCTTTCACCTCTGACCTCTCCCATACACCACGCGACCTCGAGCTCTACGGCCAGCTGGGAAGGACCTGGCGCCCGAGTGCTGCGCCCAGGCCCACAAAGCCAGCCATCTGGGTGAGGCCGTGCAGGGCAGGGATTGGGAAGGAGAGACATTAGCTCTAGCCAGATCGGCCGCGGGTGCCTCCGTGACGCCGGCCTCCCTCGTGGTCCTTC